CTCTTGTTGTCGTGCGGTCCGATCTCAGCGATCATATTTTCGATATTTTAAATTTATTTTGCAGAAGAAACTTGTAGGTACAGGTCCTTGATGTTGAATATTAACTAAATAATTGCAGCTTTTTAAGGACATTGCCTTCTGAGTAATCTCTGAGTGGTTTATTTATCAAATCATTTGCAACTTCACGTCACCATAAAGGGTAAGTTGAGTCCCATAAAGAGCTTAAGAAATGAGGGTAATACTGGCAATTCAGCCACAAATTAATAAAACTGCTATTATGATAAAAATAAGAATAATTAAAAGTACTTTTTTACTTACGGTTATAATTATAATCTTGACATTCTTGAGTACCAAGTTAAAATGCTTCGCCCTTGTATGTTGTACGTTTATTTTTAACTTTTGGGGATAAATAAACAATGGTACAATAAAATATTTGAACAGCAAGGATTATAGAAATAATCTTTGCAATTGTGACACCAACAATGTATGCTTACATACAGAAATAAATTATTATTAAATGCTTTAAAAAATAAAATAGATAGTGCAATTATATTAACAAACTATCTTTTCCTCACGACTTCGTCCGCGTGTAATTTATTACGATTAATTTCGTGTGTTTTAATTATTCTTATGAAATAAAAGAGACTTAAGTTACTCCTTATAACATCAGTTGAAATATATAAAGTCCTGTCAAAATAGGTACAGTCGTTTTAGAGATTAGTCGGAAAAAACCGACAGACAAAAAATTTAAAAATTGTTATTTGTAAATAAAACTAGTTTTTAAGGATTTTATCGCATATTTAAACTTATTTTATATTCCTGGTTCAACAGGCACACGCTTGCTGACATATTATGTCAGAGGTGTCACTGATAAGATTGGCTAATTGAAACGTACTTCCACTAAAATAGGACAAATAATAAGATCAATATAAAACCGCGTTAAAGAACACATAGCTGATGTGAAGAATAGTCGCTCCGGGACGTCTACATTCTGTGAACACGTACAGGATTTGATAGACCATAAATCCTCGCTAAAGAACACCGATTCCTTCCCAGGATGATTCGCGAGGCTATTGAAATTAAAAAACATTCTAATGATTTTTTATATTTACGCGAAACTACACATTTAAATAATATTAGTTTTTACGGATTTTATCGCGTATGTTTAACTTTTTAAATACCCGACGTTTCGAGCGCTTTGCAGCGCTACCACCAGTGGCGAAGCTTCCATTAAAGCCGAAAAGCCGGGCTTGCCTTATTAAACCTGAATCAATCTATAATATCAATCAATAATATCAACTAATAAAATAACTCGTAAAATGTTTCAAGCTATTTCAAATTTCCCGCGCACTCCACTGTTCGACACATGTCGACCGATGACCTCGTATTGCCTTAGCGATACTGCTGCTGTCATAAAAAATGAGTTTAATAGAGCTAATAATTGTCTCCCTCGCTCACGTGGGCTTTTTACGGGGCTTTCGAGAAGACGATCGCTCTCTTTCTAACCTAAGGCAGATATATAGTAGTAGTAGAATAAAATATTCTATAATGAAATATAACTACGATTGTATATATAGCAATTAGTATAGAGATTTAAAGCCAGGCTTTTGGGAATAAATTTGTTAAAAGCGGAGGCGCGCGGGCAATACGTTTGCAAGTTCATTTCACGTTTCAATGTGTATTTACTCTGTGTGCTTATCTTAAGCGATTTAATATTACGAGTTCAAAATTTATGATTTTTTAAAGATTTTTAATGAAAATGGAGAATAATAGCGTTCCTTGTGATGAATTGAAGTGTGTTAAAGTGATAATCGGAGAGGAAATCTTTAAACTTTGTTGAGAATAATACACAAGGTTAAGAGTGTATTTCAGACTTATCAATTATCGCAATTAAAAACAGTTATTGGTACAATTAAAACGTTCACCAAAATTTTACATGGACGTAATTAAATCTTTCCATAAGAAAGCGAGACGATTCCACTTATCTTATCTTATCTCTTATCCATTAGAATGTAAATAATTTTTTTTTAATTTTGTACATTGTTTGTACTTTGTTCGTGTTTTACTTTTGTTCATGTATTGTATTGGATGTAAATATTTTTTTTTCTTTCGCTTAATTAAACCCAAATGGCTTTCTTCAAAGCCACCGAAGCTATGCAATTGTTGATATGTAATACAATCTATCTAGCAGTGGTATGCCTTCTGTGTTCTTTGTTAAACACGTCCTTGACAGCACTGAATATGAAACTGAAGCGTGGAGACAGATCAAGATTGGTGTATTTTTATTAAACTGCTAAAAACAACAATCTATATTTTATCAATTTATATCTTGGGCTTGCCCTAGCTTGGAGCTCTAGCTTCGCCACTGGCTACCACTGGTGCTACCATCTGCTTGGGATCCTATAATAAATAAAATTAAATCCCAACCCAAGCATACTGCTAGACTTCAAGATACCATAAGTTCATACTGTGTAGATCGGAACAAAAGTTAAATTTTAATCTACGGTAACCGCGGTTAACTATGACATCTGGACGTTGAACATCTCAGTCCCCCCTGTGACCATGGGTGCTGTAAAGCACTCAAAACGTCGGGTATTTAAAAAATTAAATATTCGCGATAAAATCCGTGAAAACTAGTATCATTTAAACATCCTAATTTCAACAGAGAAGATGGCTGAGTCCTGCCATCTGCTTGGGATCCGATAGCTAACAAAATTAAATCCCACCCAAGTATACAACTGCAAGACTTCAAGATTCTATAAATTCATACTACATCGATCGCAACAAAAATAAATAATTTTAATCTGGAGGTAGCCGTGGTTGACTATGCTATTGGGACGTCGAACACCTCAGTGACTATGGGTGCTGTAAAATGCTCAAAACGTCGGAAGTATAAAATAAGTTAACATACGTGTGGAAATTCGTAAAAACTAGTTGTATTTATATGTATAGTGTTCGCGTAAATATAAGAAACCAATAATTGTTTTATTGTTATCGTATATACTATAGTATGCATTTACTAAAATGCTCTTATTTTGAAATTACAAACAGACACTTCAATTTTATTTTTTTATAAGTTTTTTGTTAGAAACTTATTTTTAAAAAACACTGCGACTTGATGCCGTAATATCTACGGAATTACATATTTAAATCTATATAGCTATAATTTCATGCTTATATTGTTTAATAAAGTAGTTTTTCCTTGTTCGAAACAATCTTTTTATGAATCATAACCAATGTTAAGCTAAGATACCTACTAAATAGAGGTATACATCACCTAACTCATTATCGCGCTAAGCTTATATTATGAACAGTTTACTTAATATTTGACACGTTATAGTACAAAGAAAACACATTTTTGATTAAAGTGCACTAGCACACACGATTAAAGTGCACAACAAACACGTGTCGGCTTTCATGTCATGGATTTGTGTTATAAGCACTACTTTCGAATATTCCTCAGAAACAAAATTAATAAAAGTGCATAGTTTTCCGCCTAGATAATTAATTAAATAAAAGGGGGCAATAGATTCTAATTAGTGTCAGGATATCAAAATTCTTTTCTGTGCTTTTTGGATTGCCAACCAATTAATTTCATTAAGGCATTCTTTTCGACGCGGTCGTCGTTCTCGATAACAACTAAAACATTTTTGAAATGCTTTAATCTTTTCTGTTTGTTTTCAAGAGGATCTGGTTAGTGAACGGAATTTTAATTAAAGAGATTTTATTTTAATCCGCAGTTTGTTATCTGTATCAAAAATAACATATTAGATAATATTCTCTATATGGCATAATAAAAGATAAAGATAAAAATTTAATAAAAGTATTATTCCGTAATTATTATATTAACTCTTGATCAAACTCTTGCGAAATGGTTTTTATTTGTTAAAATATTATCCGTTAGCACATTTCGTCCCATGGGTGCCTTAAAAAGCGACAATAGAAAATATCAAAAATCCATTGAAAATAATAATATTATTTTGAAAACAATATTTTATTCAATATTAATTTAAAAATATATATTTTCATAATATTCAAGTAATATGTACTTACGTACTACACAGAACAGCTATTTCAAACAAAAAATGTGCGCTACTCTGTGTTCGGAATGATCAGTAGGTAGGTAATAGTAGATTACGTATTGTTTAATAGGTAAATTATATCGAGAACTATTTTTAAATATACTTTGTATATTATATTTGCTTATTTAATATAATATTACACAATATTATATCACAATTACATTTTAATGATATTTTTATCTCAATATTTTAAAAGGTATCTATGTCAAATATAAAAATTATACTAATGTATGTTTAACAAAATTTATTAATATAACATTTAAATTATGAAAAGTAATTCCTTGGTTTTTACTGACATTTCTTGAATTCCAGTTGCTAGAAATTTTCAAAATGTTGCTAGATTTCCAGTTTTTTTACCCTAAAAATTTGCTAGAAGTTGTTAAAATGTTACAGTAGATAAGTAGGCTACAATAAAATGCCAGTTTCTGATAATCATTTTTATTCATTAATTCCAACGAGAAGTTAAATTAAGTCCCGTGTACGCAATTGAATAAAAATAAATTAATCAATTAAAGAGGAAGATGTCGATGGCTGGGGTTCAGTATAAACTTTCATTGATTTCGAATATTTTTCAACGGTGCCCATTTTATGCAGTACGTCTTTAGGCAAAACACAGTTATAGCAGCATTTACCACTTTTCCTGAGGGAGTTTCTAATGCAGAGGATTGAGTTCAGAGTTTTCAAAGTGATTTTGTTTTTTTTTTGCTTATTTTTAACTAAATTCATTTGAGAGAATAACCTTTCTACCTCTGCATTAGAATGTGGCAGTGAAAGGCAAGTTAAAGCAAGAGTAGTTATATCTTGATATTATATGTCGTCATCGGAAGAATTTCTAAAAATTTTTACTTCGACCCAAAACTGAACTATTTCTTCAGAATGCCACTTATTTATATGTAGAATGTGCGACTGTTGCATTACCTTGTCTATTATTTCTGGTGTAAATCCCGAAATTTCAGCAACGTCGATGATAGTGTTTGACTTGATTGGTTTTATTGCCTCCTCTGGTCTTAGCAACTCCATTGATTCTAGCTGCTTGTAGTTGTCTGGAAGCCTTTGTTGCAATTCCTTAAGTAATTGCAGTAAGAAGGCGGAGCAGCGTTGTCGTATTGCATTTAAAATTACGGAGTCTAAATGATGTTGAGCAGTTTCAAACATGTAGCCAAGATAAGGCCTAGGGTTAATATCCCTGTCAGTTATTGGATCTAATAAGTTTCTGTTTACAGGTCTTGGCATTAAAATTCTTGGCTCACTGATTCTATCAGTGTTGTGAGTGTATTGAGAAGTTTTAATGGATTATTTGTTTTATTTATTTGTTTTATTAAATCATTTGAAAGTGATTAGAGTTTTCACTTTCAAATGATTTAATTGCTGTTTGAACATCATTTAAAATGCTTCTCAGAAACAAAAAATATAAATAATTTCTTTTGTCTTCGAACATGTTGTAAATAAGCTCAGATGAGTAGCAATTGTCTTTTCCTCTTGCTAAATTAAAATATATTTTCAATTCTTCCCATTGTGTCACATTTTTGTTATTGCTGGCTCTATTGAAAGCCAACGTGTATCGCACAACTTGGTGATTTTCAACGGACTTTCGCCACAGTTTATAAGTTCGTATATTTTTGTGTATTCGTCTCGCCGCTTAGGAGACACAGAAAACCATTTATAAATTTCTCTAACCGAAAACCTCTCAAGTTTCTTGGCAGAGTATTTTCGGAGGCATGGGTCACTGCTAACTGCAACTAGTGGCAGACACATCGCTCATAATCAATTCTATACCATATTCTCTTTTTAGGATTGCATGAACCCCGTTATTAATGCCTGTCATAACAGATGCATTATCAGTTCCAATTCCAATCATTTGTTTGATATCTAAGTTTGACTCTCTAAGCATGATACCAATCCATTAAAGATTACCCTAGCATCTGCACTCTCAATAGAAACTAGTTCCAGGAATGAGCTTACTATTCTTTCCTGTGCGGCACTATAATACCTAATTACAAGACCAAGGTGTTAACTGACACTGAAGTCTGTGGACTCATCCATTATAATGCTGAACTTTTGGTTTCAATATCATCTAAGAACTCCTTGCGAAAGTGCGGCATCAGTACATTTTTCATTATTTCTGTACATGTAGTGCGATCCAATTTAAGCTCCTGTGTAGCTTGGGAGTCTTTGAAACACATTTTGCATAGTTCAACTAAATGGTCAACACTTAATATAGAATAATAATGCTCGGCAATAAATAAGGTCAATGCGCCTTCAGATTCATCGAAAGGTCTAAATAAATGGTCTTTTGGTACAACTTTGAAAGGAATTTCTTTATTGCCGGTAAAGACAAAATTAATATACATAAGGACCCCAGACGCAAAATATTATTTGACCCTAAAAAATTGGTAAAATGAAAATATCGAACTTATTTTTCCCATCGATAGAGTCTGATATCAACAAAACGAATTTTAAATTAATTTACGTAACTGTTTTGAACTCTATTTTCTGTTTATGCTTTTTGGTCTCAGCATGCTTCTTTATATCAAAAAGTTTAGCAAGAATCTCCGTAGAACCAATATGTACAAAATGTTTTGCTTGAGTCTCCACTTGCCAATTTTAGCCTACCTTTAAGTTCGTCCACATTTTCCCACTCCGGTCTGTATTTCTATGCGTAGGTTTTTCTTTTCAAAGGTAACTTTATTTTCAAATTAAATGAAATTAGTTTTATATGGATAAATTAAAACAACACAAGGTAGAATACGAATAGCACGTACAATTTTAGTTTACTAAGTATTCTGTCGCAGAGGACGTTTTAACGTGGTAGAGCCATGCTGCAGTTATATTAGATGTATAGTTGTAGCACGAATGGGTCGGCTTGACCGGGGAAGGACCACGCTCTCACAGAATACCATCGTGAAAGAGTAGCTTAATGCTGCTGTATTTCGTATGGTGAGTGTAGAGAACCGGCGACCCATTTTACTGGAAACGAGGCATTCCATCTTAGTCCTCACGGGTGACAACACATCTGCATTTTGATTCGTAATCGAGGATAGATGTAGATGTCTATGGGCCACAGCAACCACTTACCATCAGGTGGACTGTGTGCTCGATTGTCACACTATCCTATAAAAAAAAAAGAAGGAATTCCCGGCCAGCGTCGACCTGTACTTACCGTAGCATCTATGACCATAGATTTTTTTTTTTATTTCGACTCGGCACACTACTCGACGAATTTCGATAGACTCACGTCTCATGATGAAATGAAAAGTTGCTAGTGAAAGTAGCTAAAAAGTTTAGCTACAACTTTTATTAAATTGTAGCTGTCTGTAACCAAATAATAACTAGATCTAGCTATAAAGTTGCTAAGTTGGCATCACTGAGTACGGTTGCACCACAGTTGAGTGGCACAAAGTAGCTGAATGCAGTGTTGCCTCTAGTACATAGTACATAATAGCTCAATGTAATATGACAAAGATTTTATTTTATTGAAAGTAATTTTATACCAGTAAATGGCTCCATGCCATCTTGTAAGTGACAGATATAAATACGCAAACCGCCGGCGTGGATCAAGGTCAAAGTTGCGAGGCATTTTATACGAAATATAGTAATCCAATGTAATATATTTGTTACAATTGTTATAACAATATATAATTGTAGCAATTGTTACAAATCCTTTCAACAAGGCGTGAGGCCTATATTAAGAAATATACTGCTATGTGCTGGTAAAAAAGCAAAAAGGAGTTGAATAAAATAGGAGTAAACTCCATAATCAGAGTACCGCTATAGATGTAAAAAAGCAGATTGTTGGTTTTCGATTCTAAATTGATTGATGATTGTGTTTTACCTCTTTGGACTGCATACCTCTATCTTTCTATGTCTACCTTTGATGTTCGCGCAAAAAATCTTACGTCGGGTAGGTTGAAATGAGCAACATCATCGTGACTATCATTATTACAACCCATCACAAGTTCACTGCTAAACATAAGTCTTCTTCATAGATTACTCCAAAGAACAAAATCCCACGCTACCTGCCCGCATGTTTCATCAACTCGTCATCTCCATCTAGTGAGGATTCCAATACAAGCCACCGGAGAACCCTTTTTCCTCGTCGGTTGTCAGTACTAGGAATCGTATCTTACCTATTACCATGTAATTTAAATGTTAATAAGGCGACGATCGATTCCGCGCTGTTCTAATGACCTTGTAGCTAAATCCAAATGTTGGACAGAGTGTCACGTTCTCCTACTGCATTCATCATCATCGTTATTACAGCCCTTCACAAGTCCACTGCTGAACATAGGCCTCTCCCAAGTAAATGCCACAAAGCACGGTCCTGAGCCACCTGCATCCATCGACTTCCTGCATGTCTTACCAGGTCGTCACTCCATCTAGTAGGGGCTCGTCCTACACTACGCCTACCGGTACGAGGCTGCCACTCGAGAACCTTTCTTCCCCATCGGTTATCGGTTCTTCGAGCTATATAGCCGGCCCATTGCCACTTCAGCTTCCTAATCCGTTGGGCATTGTTGGTCACTCTGGTTTTACTGCGCATATCCTCATTTCTGAGTCTATCACGCAGAGAAACTCCGAGCATAGCCCTCTCCATAGCTCGCTGAGCGACCTTGAGCGTCCTCATACGGCCAGCAGTGAAACCACTGATTCATTGGGATATGTCAATTAATTCCGTGCCAATTTGTCCTGCTGTGAAAATCGTTGCTACGGATGTTTTCACACAAAAACAACTCTGAGTTTTGAGCTTTCCATAGCTCACTTAGTGATTTTGAGCTTTTTCATACATATACAACTACCAGTACAGGTAAAGGTGTACGTTCCACGGTAACACGCAACATATTTATAATATGGCGTCATAATAATTGTTTATTACAATATTATTATTATAAAATTAAAATAAGTTCACTGCTTTTCTATATTTTTATGTCTGAAATTTTTAGGGTTTTTGTGACTCTCGAAAAATACGCTGCATGTTCAGAAATAATTAAATAAAATTTTGGTTTAGTTTATTCTTTTTATACATGCCACATTAAATGGAGTACAGTACTGTATGCTAAGTGAGGATTGTGTTCCAAGAAAAATATTAAAGTTATCTAGAGATCTTAAAATATAGGGACATAATGGGGCCGACTGCTATAACTTATTTAAAAATCTTAAAAGAGCAGGAAACTTTGGATTTCTTATCATTATAATATCCTGAAATTATTATCATCATTACATCCCAAGTAATTAAACTTTATACCTGAGTCAACTGACTTTCTATGAAACTTCTGAGGTCTAAGGTTATTTTATGAACCTGAAGTGACAAACGAACTTAGGGTCCTCCTGATAGTAGGTGGCTACTGCAGTCCAAGAATACCTGCAGCTAACTTCAAACACCTACTGCAGTCCAAGAATACCTGCAGCTAACTTCAAACACCTACTGCAGTTCAAGAATACCTGCAGCTAACTTCAAACATCTACTGCAGTCCAAGAATACCTGCAGCTAACTTCAAACACCTACTGCAGTCCAAGAATACCTGCAGCTAACTTCAAACACCTACTGCAGTCCAAGAATACCTGCAGCTAACTTTAAACACCTATTGCAGTCCAAGAATACCTGCAGCTAACTTCAAACACCTACTGCAGTCCAAGAATACCTGCAGCTAACTTTAAACACCTACTGCAGTCCAAGAATACCTGCAGCTAACTTTCAACACCTATTGCAGTCCAAGAATACCTGCAGCTAACTTCAAACACCTACTGCAGTCCAAGAATACCTGCATCTAACTTTAAACACCTATTGCAGTCCAAGAATACCTGCAGCTAACTTCAAACACCTACTGCAGTCCAAGAATACCTGCAGCTAACTTTAAACACCTACTGCAGTCCAAGAATACCTGCAGCTAACTTTAAACACCTACTGCAGTCCAAGAATACCTGCAGCTAACTTTAAACACCTACTGCAGTCCAAGAATACCTGCATCTAACTTCAAACACCTACTGCAGTCCAAGAATACCTGCAGCTAACTTTAAACACCTATTGCAGTCCAAGAATACCTGCAGCTAACTTCTAACACCTACTGCAGTCCAAGAATACCTGCAGCTAACTTCAAACATCTACTGCAGTCCAAGAATACCTGCAGCTAACTTCAAACACCTACTGCAGTCCAAGAATACCTGCAGCTAACTTCAAACACCTACTGCAGTCCAAGAATACCTGCAGCTAACTTTAAACACCTACTGCAGTCCAA